CCTAGTTTTACTTTATCAGTTTTAGGAAAAGTTGATTTCAAGACAAAAAGTGTTATCAGAGGTTAAAAAAAAAGGGAAGAAGTCATAATGGTAAAGGGTTGCTTCATCAGTAAGCCCCAATAATCCTAAATGTGTATTGGCCTAATAACTGCTTCAAAATACATGAAAAATTAACATAATTAAAAAATAAACAAATGCAGAAGCATAGTTGAAAATTTAACACTTGTGTTTCAGTAGGTGATAGAATATATTAAAACATCAGGAAAAATATACACTATAGTTGACAAATTTATAGAACACTGCATCTAACAAATGCACAATACACATTTTCTTTTTTCAAGTACACTGAGAACAATCATCAGTATAAACCATATGCTGGGCTATAAAGTAAGTCTCAGTAATCTACAAAAGTTGAAATCTTACAGAGTATGTTTTCTAACCACAGTGGAATTAAATAAAAAGTTAATAACACTATTAGAAGATCCTCAAGTACTTGGAAGCTAAAAAACAGATTATAAATTTATAAACAAATGGTAAAAGAAGAAAGAGAAATTAAAACACATTTCCAAAGGAATGCTAATTAAAATAACATATTAACATTTATGAGATAACTCCAAAGCAATTCTTAGAGGTAGTTTCCTAGCTTTAAATGTCTATATTAGAAATGAATAAAAGTTTAAATCAGCTATTTTAGTTTCCACCTTAGGGACATAACAAAATATGGAAATCAAGTTAGTAGGAAGAAAGGAATAATAACATAAGACCATAAATCAATGAAATAAAGAGCAACAAAGGTAGCAAAGCCAGTTTGGTTTTCTGAAGCTATTAATATGTATGTATCTCATACACACCTCCATTCGGAGGGTAAAATGGTACAACACCTTGATAAAACAATTTGGTACTATATTTTTATTTAAAATAATTCACCACTCTACAAATTTTTAATTCTAATTCTAATTGTAAACCAGAGGAAGTCTTGAAAATCTTAGAGGAAAGTTAGTAATAAATAACCCCAAAGCCCTACAACAGAATAGATACATGAATTGTAGCCCCAAAGCCTTATACTAGAATAGATATATGAATTGTAGTATATGCAAGCACTAGAATATTACAGGGAATTAAAACGAATCAATTATAACGATGCACAATTAATTCACTAAAGAAAATCTTTCTTGAGTGTTTATTAGGTGTTTTGCACTGTGCTTGGAACTTGGAATACATCAGTTAATAAAACTCAGAAGGATCACCACCCTTAAACAACTCAGGTCCTTGAAGTGGAGACACATCAAGCCTTGTACATAATAAATTATTTATTAAGTACACTAAAAAAAGGGGAATTATTATGCACAAAAGAACAAGTGAAGTATAGAATACTGGCGTTGGGGAGAAATTTGGGCATAAATATAATGGGGAGTATAGGGATTTAATGTAATTAAGGTTGGTGAATCTTAGCAATAATATCAAGTGAGGAAAGTACATCTCTGATGATATGCCCCAGTTCTTACCTATGACACAGGAAAAACCTTGTCAGATCCTGTAGTTGCTCTTTTTCACTGACGTGAAGAATGCAAAGGTTTTGTTTTGAGATGAACAAGGCACAAAATCCAAGCAGCTTAGATGAGAGTGCAGAGTCACCACCTGCACTTCAGGAGGCTGTCAATTGTAAAACCCATTATTCCTATGTGTACACTAAGGAAGAAAAAGCCATTTCTGAATTATTTGTAAATGGCATCATGATGTTAGTGGACATTGACATTTTAGAGGCATTGACATATACTAAATGTTCAATATGTTGAAAAAAGTAAATGTTAATATTTTCCAGTGGTTACAAGATATCTTTTTTATCTACATGTCATTTGTTAAAGAAATGGCTGGCAGATACATATTTGAAATTACATCCTCTAAATATTTGCAGTATGAGACTCCATCATTCACTTATATGAAATAATTCTCTGTATGTGTTCTTACCTCATGTGAAAAATATTTTGAGATAATTTTTTCAGAGACAATTTTGAATTTAATTAACCAAAAAGCAAATAAGCATTGAATTATGTTAATTATTATTAAGCAGTTAATAATGTAGGTTAATTCTTTCCATGGAGATCATTCTATATATATGCCATGGCCTCCTGCATAGTACTATAGTTAAAACAAAGACTTTCAAACATAGACTTTGGTGATCCTCAGAATTTCTTAAATGAACTCACATAAGAAACATTTTCTTATATCTTTTGAACAAAATTTGCCCTAATGCCTCCTTAAGGTCGTCCCAGAATAATTGCACAGGAATAGCACCATGTTTGATCCGTAAGCAAATGATACCAGCTACTTAGAGAGCTAAAGTGGATAATTCCTCTGTCTTAAAATTTAAAGCATAGGACTACTGAAAAGGATTAAGCAATTTGATATGTTTTTTTAATTTTAAAATTTTCAATAGACTTCATACATTTTTGATAGAATCATAATTTTTAAAAAATGTTTGAGCTTCATGATTACTAAAACAAATTTCTGCAAAGGATTCAAATTGATTCTTCCAATTTTCAAGTTATATACATATTCACTCCAGGCCAAAGATGTTAACACATATAATTATTAGCTTCTAATTTATGTTTTAGCTTGCCACAAATAGAAGTAAATATATGTCATGATATGCTAAAGGAATAAACTTATTCATAACATACATATGGAAGTTTTGATTTCAGATTAAGCCATTTACTTCTTGTTCAGTGTTCCAAAATGTATTTATTTATTTTGAAACTTATGTTTGTTCTTCATGATTTTTTTTTTTGAGGTTCAGGCTGGGCTTATTGAAAGGGACAGTGACCGCCTGGGCAGGGCAAAGATAGTGTCTGTCTCTTCATGATTTTTTTCTAATGTACATTTGTGCCTATGAGGGAATTTCAAATTAAACACGTGCTAAGTTTGGGAGCTGAACATAGAGGTGAAAAATTTATAACCAAAGTGTGAATAGCATGAGACTCTCCTACCCCGAAAGTTATAAGACATGCTTTCTATATGCATGTCATTTTTGAAGAAATTGCTGGGAGCTACACATTGAAATTATATCCTACTTGGGAGATTAATTAAAAATATTAGTTTTTGATGTTTAATTATTTAAAAAATACTATTTTGCAATAGTTATATTCATGTACTCTAAATTGGTTAGTGCTCATTTTATAGATCAGTAAATTTCTTATAAGGATATATTCATAGGCAATGTAGTGGTAGCGACTCATTATTTGTTTTTCTAACTGTTTTTCCTCATAGCAGATACAATTTTAAAATGTATTTCTATGCATATGTAGCACAGTATTTTTTATTGGATGTTTAACTAGATAACTAAGGTATAGTGTTCCAGGAATTTGAATGTGTGCTTCAAACATCTGGAGTTATACGTGGTACATATGGGGCGTATACAGCTGTGTTTATTTCAATGATTACACATTTACACACATACAATACATTTATTTAAATGTATAATATCTTATATATGTGCGAATATTCAAACAAATACATTTGCTTTATTTATTTGAATTTGCAATTGTAAAAGAATTCAAATAAATATATTCACCACTTTTATTTGAATCTTATACTGCTTATTTATATAATGTACTTATTAATATATAATCATAACTTTCTTTTTAGCCTAAAACCAAATATTTTTAAAAGCTTAAAGAAAATGGGAACTGTGGGTCACACAAATCAAGAAAGTTTTGTAGAGAGTTACTCTTAGCAAACTTTCAGAAGAATTTGAAAATTCAGCGATCAAAGAAAATAAAATCATTTGCAATTGGAATGTGTTTATTTTATTCCAACAATTCTATCACAGTATGGTGGACATTTTAATTGAATCTCAAAGCACTTTTCTTGAGGTATTATTTTTTTCCTTACTACCACTGAATCTGACAAGATAAACACTTCTGAGTTTTGGTTTAATATAGACAGAAAAAGAGTTCCACTATTTTAAAGCCACACACACACAAAAATCTGGTTAAGAGTATTAATATAATCTCATTTAACTCTACCTTTATTTCTGGGAAAGGAACTGGAAACCAGAAAATGATTTAGGAGGACAGAAATAAAATTACATTTTGGATTCAATTCCTGGCCATGATATCCTGGGAGACTTTAGAGAACCTTCTGGTAAGTCTATTTATACTTGTCTCAGTTTTTTTTTTTTTTTGTATGCTACTTTCTTTTCAAGGGCTTTTTAAAAAAGATAGGATGGACTGGCTTAGAGGAAGGTGACTTACTCCTAAGCAAAGGAAAAATTAATCTGTACGTTGTATAGTTTTTTGAAGGAACTGACTTTAAGTAATTAGATTTGTTGACAGACTGAAGAAACCTAATCTAACCTGTGTTTCATTGTTCACAGGCTGTGGATAATAATAACCCTCCCTGGGGTTTGTAAAGATTACATGAATATAATGTATAAAACATTCCAGTAGCCAAATGCTTTCCAAATAACTAACATGTTAATATTTCATTCTCCATCTTGCAGATGTGAAAACTGAATGTCCGAACATAGACCTCTAACCCTTGGTTCTTGGTCATGTTGCAACAACTCCCTTTCTTCAATTGATAAATCTCCTGTTAAAAGTTAAAATGGATATAAAAAGGATATGTTTGTTTGTTTTTTGCTGTTTTAGGAGGCAATAAATACATTTTGTTTGCACATATATTTTTACCTAGGGATGCTTCTCTGAGAATGTGGATTGGGAGTGTGTGTGTTAGGTGGGAACGTTTCAGTAATGAAAATAAGATATATCTGTGTTTTATGTTTATAAAACAAATTACAGTCCTTACTTTTAATACTTTTAATTTCTACAGTTACCTTGGCAGACACGTATCAGACGTTTGGACTCACGTCAAGGGAAAGACCAGGCCGCAGGGCCCGCGCTTTCGCGTCCAGGAAAGGCGCAGAGGCGGGAGAGACACTGACCAATCGCAGAGCGGGCTGAGGTCTGGTCCCGCCCCTGTCCTTCCAGCCCCGCCTCTGATCCGTCCCGCCCTTCGGGAGCCGGGGTGTGTGGCTGGCTCGTCCCGCCCCTGCCTCTGAGTGACAGGACCGTGGACAGCAACATTTCCAGCCGGACACGAAGTTTGTCGGCCTTTGCCTTGGCAGAGCTGAGGTGTGTGTGTGTGTGTCCGGCGAGTGCGAGGAGGCTGGGGAGACCCTGCCCAGGAATCTTGGGGCCCGGGACTCAAACCGGGCTCACCTCCACAGGGAGCCCCTACACCATTTAGGAGACGTTCGTTCAGTACTCGGGAGCGGCACTGGGGCGGGCTGGGCGGAGGGAGGCTCTGCAAGAGGAACCCGGAGCCGGGGAGACCCAGTAGGTACCAGGATCACTTCAGGACCCCCTCCAGAGGCGCAGGGCGCTCGCGGTGGGGGTGGGCGATGGCGGGCTGGGGAGTGCGAGGAAGGTGGGCGTGGCGCCGGGGTTGCTAAGGAACGCGCGGTTCCCGCCCTGCCAGCGCGTCTGGCGCGGGCTCTGGGCCTGGGCAGAGTTAGTCCCGCCCACCTCCCGAGGCCTTGGTTCCGCTAGGGTTTGGCTCCTTTGTGTAGCCTGATCATTCCGGGCTGTTTCTTTCGCTGTGCAGCGCTATGGGTTTTGTTGTCCCTATTCCGGCCTCCATTTCCTATATTACTCTTCACCCTTTCTCCTGCCTCCCCTTATTAATGAACAAGTCTCTGCAGAGCCAAACATTCCTAGAGAAGATCTTCGGACAGCATAGGGCGCTTTATTGGTGGTGGTGGGAGGGGCGGGGTTACTTTTTCTGGAGCTTGGCGAATCTCTGAACCCTTTTGATATTGGTGTCCTCATGGGAAAATAGGGATTAAAGACCTTGTTTTTTCTACTTGGAATTCCTTTCTCACTGCTGCCTGTTTGGGTTTAATGAGCTTCCTCAGGACGTTGAAGCAATTTGTTACTGGAGAGGCCCCAGTAAATGATCCCTCCCACTTTCAGGGAGAAGGGAGCAAAACTGTAAGCTCTTTTGCTTCCTTGGCCCATATTTAATGATCAACTAGGAAACGGTAACCGTAGATAACCATCTCAAATCTACTCTTATTTGTTTCTATAATCTAGCCCCAAATGATTCAGCAGAACAAACATTGCAGAGGGAACACACACAGGAGGTAAAAATCCTTTACTTCCCTGTGCCAGGTTTGTAGTGTAAATCCCCAGTAAGAAAGCTTGTACTGCTTGTTAACTTTGAGAAGAGCACTGGCCTACAGGGCAGGGACCTGGCAGGGTTAGGAAATGGTTGTTGGAAAAATAATCTTCAGAACTATTTTCTTGTCTGTAAATTGGAGATACTTGCATGTACCCTTCCTTCCTATAAAGGAAGAGTAATTGATTATGAAAGTATTAAAATAATGATCTATGCAAATACAAGGTGTTATTGATTACACTTGTAATCTTTGTCTATCTGTTCTGAATTTGTAAACACATATAAGTATTAACATTCAGTTTAAGATATTTTTGCATTTCGCTTTTGATTTCTTTGGGTTATTTAGAAATGTAGAAGAAACCCACTCATCTATTCATTATTGATTCTGTGTTGGTTCTGGTTAGGTAGTACCTGAAATGTCTTCTGTCACACCCCCACCCCCCATTTTGATAACACTAGACTTTTTCATGTATGTTCATAGCTTGAAAAGATGGGAAACATTAACTTTTAATTCAATAATGACTAATTATTTTGGTGGCATATACCACTTTGAGAAGGCAAACTTTCTCCTGCAGAAAGAGGCACAATTAGAAGCATTAGTGGATCCTGGATTAAGACACCTGGTTTCATTCAACTTCTGTAGGGATAAGACAATTATTCTTTCCTCATTGTTTTATCACTAAAAGAGACTAAATTTTACCCAAAGCTACAAAGCTAGGAGCTGAGTTGAGTCTTTTTCCTTTCTTACACATTACCTCTATTGATACCTCACCTTATGTATTTCAGGATCTTTAGTCTGACTACCCCAACCCCCTTGCTTTTATTAACTTTTAACAAACAGAAACTGATAATGTTTTATAAATTGTTGCTGTTTTACAAAACCATGCAAGCTGTGTTTTTCCCCAAATGCCCTTTGATAATTATTTATTAAAGCATATTCTAATATTTAAACAAGTAAACAGAGAATTTATTGTCAAATATTTTTGAAAAATGTTAAATTATAATTTGAGATAAACATTAAATACATAATTTTTCTATCAAAATCTGTTTCGGACAAAGGGAAGCTGATTATCTTTAGTACATGCCACTAGAATATCATTATTTACCTGATTGCTAGAGCTATTTTTTTCACACTAAATTAATTATCTTTTATGGCATTTTAATTTCCTCGGGCTAAAAAATATTGTGGTTGATTTCACTGTGGCTCTTTTTCTGATTTCTCTATTCAGATAGAAGGCTGTGAGTAGAATAATTTACTTTCCTTGCTCAAATTACTTACCTTTCTCGATGAAAGTGGGCATCAGTAGTAGATATTAAAAGTTCTCATTAGATAAGGAAAAAATTGGAAAGGGAAAGATCTGCTGTTGTAGTAAATGGGAAAGTATATAGGAGTACCTGTTATTTCTTTAGCACTTGTGATTTTAAGTGTTTAGTATTTGACTATTCCCTTACTTACTCCACTCTCTTCATTTCTGATAGAGAAACAGGGATAAAGACAAATGTATTAGAAAAGGCATTGAAATGGACTTATAATAACTCTTTCCTTATTCTTTTGAGTTTGTAAACAGACCTGTAGAGTTTGCAATTATCAGCTTTGTTACTAATGAGTTGATTGGGGCTAGGACTTTAGATTGAGACCCAAAATGTGTACTAGTACTTTTTAACCCCTTTTAACCCCCCCGCCCCAGTCTCTTTCTCAGAAGCTAGGCTTTAATTCAGCTGAGAGAAAAATTTCAGTTTGCAGAACAGACACACTTATACACATTTACTCCTTTGCATGGTCCAGGGCAGAGAGAGAAGTGAAAAGGGGCAAATCTCTAATGTACACTGGTTTATAATAGATTTGTTCTACCCAACGGAATGATGTGGACCAGCGGAGTTTAGCTACCAATTAATAATTCTTCTATTGGGAAACTATGAAAAAGGAATGGGATCTGAGGCCAAGACTATTAGTCTGGTGCTCTGGTTTTCCATTCTAAGCGATACCTCAGGGCCATTTGTAATATGTGGCATGTTTTTAAATTATTACAATGTCTTGAATAATGGTACTACTTGCTATTGGGACCCCGAAATTCGGGGGTAATAAATATTGTGTAATGTGGAAGTCCACCAGCTCAATGAAAAATTTCCTCTCTCCAATGCCAGATGCATCTCTCTTGGAATTTCCTTCATGTAGAAACATGAAACTTAGGCCAAATTTTCCCCTAGGCTGTGTTTTGTATGTCCATGTTTTTGACATCAGTAGATATGGCTGTAAGTGTGAAGATCTTAACAAGTACTGCTTAAAATACTTAGGTATTCTTCCAGAATATCTAAAATTATAACAAATGGAAAATAGTGGTACATATTTCATCATATTTGATATCCTTAAATTTCTTATTGAGCAGATAAAGATCATACAATCCTAGAGCTACTTCTTTTTTTATGCCTATTACATACATTTGTTCCTTTCTGATATGGCAAGAAACGTTAAGCAATAGTTAAATGAGATAGGTATATATTTTTAATGAAAAAGAAATGATTTCTTACCTCATAATTTTGAAATGTTAAACAACAACAATAAAATTCTAAGTACTACAAATATAAATACTCTGTACTCAGTGGTTTGATAATCTGTTTCGTTCACTCAAATGAATATAGTTCCAGAAATGAGTGACTCTTATCAATTGCTTGTCTTTTAAGGCACTGAACATAGAGACTGACTAAAGGAATAAAGTAGCTTAGCTCTTCTATAGACACATTATGTAGTGACAGTAGCAAAAATAACAGACCAATTATATTGAACAACTTAAAATTTTTGTAAAGAAAAAGTGGTTTAATCCCAATAACATTTCTTTTATATACTTTGAATGTTGAAATATTACAGGGCATAGCATAACAGATTATATAGTTACTTGTGGCAAAGTTCTAATTATAGAAAACAGTTTATAACTTATAGCAAGTGGAAGGTGGGTGCACTGCACTGCAAGTTTTAGACTTGGCTTCAGCAGAGGCATATACTTTGTTGATTTTTGTAACATTTCCAGTTATTGGGTTCATTATCTAGGCAGAAATGGTTGAAGATTTGTTATTCTCTACTAGTTTTTTAGGCCATGTGCTTGCGTATTATAACACATAGCCATTATTCACAGTGACTCAGTGTAGCGCTAACTGTCTCTAGGCAGGGGCATATCAGACTTTTTCTTTTCAGGATAAGAATGTGTAATTTTAAAAAAGAAACTCCCAGTTTCTGATTCTGCTTTATCTGTGTTTCCAGGGAATCCATTCTTTGTTTCCTCTCCTACCATCAACTCCTGTCCCCCTTACTCATTGTTGGAAAATACCGGACTATGTAGATATGATTTATATAGTTTCTCCCAGTGCCAAAATATTCTGGATTAATTTGGCATTTGAAAATGAATCAAGTAAAACAAAATGTCCCACAAAATCAAGACAAAAAAAAAAAAAAAAAAAAAAGAAAAAAAAAAACCAAACAAACAAAAAAAACAACCAGAAGACTAAGAGGCATACCTATGAAACTCTAAGAAAAATTCTAAGCTCAGGAAAAATATTTCAGGGAATTCTTTGATATCTAAAACATTCAAGAATAGATAGAAAAGAATAGATAGCGGTCAAGTGACAGTGGAAAATACTAAGGGGAAACAAAAAAAATGACAAGGAAAATAGAAGTGTGAGTAGTATATTGTTTTCTATTACTGTCATAATATCACTTTGTGGCTCAGAACAACACAAATTTATTATCTTACATTTCTTTGGATTAGTCATAGGTCACATTAGGCTTGAATTAAGGTTTGGGCAAGGTTATTATATTCTTTTCTGGAGGCTCTAGGAGAGAATGTTGCTTTCCTTGTCTTTTCTAGTTTTTAAGGCTGTCCATGCTCCTGGGTTTAAGGCCTCTTCTTTTTCTATTCAAAGCCAGCAACATTGCGTCTCTCTGTTTTTCTCTAGTCACATC